CAGGGATGGGGAGGATGAGGGGTGGGAGGGAAGCAGCTGTGGCTCTGAAAGAGCCACCTTGAGAGTCCTTGCAGTGCCGGCACAATCCTGGATCTGGACTCTATGAGCAGTGTGATATTGTTCTATAAAGATGCTACCACTGGGAGGAGCTGAGGAGAGGGCACATGAGAGCTCTGTATTAATTCTTACAACTGCATGAGAATCTAGAATTAATCTCAAAATAAAAATGTTCATTAAAAATAAATAATACCAATCATTTAAAAAGAAAATTCTTGTTAGTAGCCTGCCCTAACACTATGCCACTTGAGCAGCAGGGCTCACTTTATCCAGACTCTGCTTTGTTCACTCGACAATCCAGTGGGCTGGGAAGATGGGCTGCTCCTCGCCATTGTCTCCCCGTGAGAATTCTCTCTGGGAACTTGCAAGCTCTACACAATATTAATGGGGGTTAGGAGGGAGCACCCAAGGTCCAAGTCTGAACCTGTTCACTCACAGAAATGACCTCAGACAAATATAAACTGAGGGGGGTTGAAATCTCAATAAGACATACTTGTTTCTTTCCAGTTCTTAAATCACTGAAAGAAGACCCCATTGGTGACCCCAGCCCCAGTCCCTGAGAGACATCGCATCTCTGTGAGCTGACAGCAGTGCACAGTGGCCAGAGCAAGAGCAGGACCCTGGTTTTCTGGGAGGACCTAAGAACACAGATGTATTCATTACTTTAAAAGTCATAAATACTTGAAGCGTTGGTAATGGATTGCCCCTGGTACCCCCTCAGGGTGCATGTACCACATGTGACAGGTGAGGTATCATGAGGAAACAGAGGGTATCCCACAGCTCAGGGGGACGGCAGAATCCTGGCATGATCCACCGGCTCTCCATGGGTTGCAACATATTACAGTTTATATGTAGCCAGACTGTGATCTTAGGTAATAAAACCTTTACCATGATAACGGTAAAGGAAGGATAATGACAACCACCTTCAGCACAGAGGCTCATTGGCAGCCTTCCTACCAGCACATAGCTCCATGAGAAGCAGGGGTTGTTTGTTTTGTTCACTGCTGTGTGTCGGGTACTTGGACTGTTACTCGGCACACAGTATGTGCTCAATAAATATTTATGTATGAAATAAACAATGGGATTTTGTTGCTAAAACATGTGTTACATTCAAGACCACATATCTGCNTGGGGGGAGGCCGGGGCGACCCGCCATTCAAGGGGAAGGATGCCGGGCCATTTTGCTGTCAACCCTCTTTTGATCCCTGGTCGTGAAGACCAGCGGAAAGAGGAACTACTTAGCTGTGTACCGAAGTTCTTTAGGAAACTTCTGTTATAGAGGCAAGTGTAACTTCAGGGCTTGAAAAGTTTTTTTAAAAATAATAAATGTGCAAATTCAACTTGATAAAAATTTTTTATTCCCAGTGAGAGCGTTTTAATTTTTGCATTTAACATTGGGCATTAGGCAGGGGGAGAGGTAGGGGTCTGGAAGGGTTGTGAACTTCACCTTACATAAATGTGTTAATGTCACCTGATTTATAGCACTTTGTAGGAAAATGTTAGTGGAGGTTTTAACCGCCAATTAGAATCCCACTTCTAACCATCTTCTCAGAATGTCTTAAATCCCTGAGCAGATTTGAGGAATTCCTCCTAACCAATCCATTGCTTCCCAAGCACTCTTTCAGCACTTGCTCAGGAAAGTTTGTTTCTAGGAAACAAAAACCAAATAAAAAATGTGAAACGGTTTAAGTGAAACGCAGGTGAAGAGACGCTTCCTCGAGTCTCTTCATGTTGAAATCGGCTTGCTTAGCGTTTCCATTCCCTGCAGCAGGGGATGAGGTGCTGTGCTGTTCAATCTGGAGCAGGTATGTTTTATGGAGTAAGAAGTGAACTCAGGTTGAAATTGAAATTCCACCCTGGCTTTTCTTATTATTGCAGATGATTTAAGTGGGTTTGTGGTTTAACATGTTTTTAATTAGTGATAACTGCCAGTTAGACCAACACCTGCAATCTTTTACTGGGTGGGTAATTTGAAGCTACACTTAAAATATCTGCATTTTTTGTCTGGCCACTTTTAGTAGGAGAGTTTATACTTTCCTAGAGCCTTTCTAAAGGTTTCTGTACTTAATATGGATGATTACTCATTCTTTCAGTTAGCAAGCAATTTACTGAGTCCGATGGCACTGTAAATGTTCATTCTAGTGCTACCATTTCACTTGATATTAGAAAACCCCTTTTAAAGGAAATTGTGACCAGTTTGTGATTCGATGTTTGAATTATTTAGAGATTCCAGAGTGTTAAGAGGCAATCTCAAAATAGAACTAATAAAGGTTAAAAACATCAGAATGAGAAGATAGTCTGTCACTTGAACCCAGGCAACCCCCTGCATCCTGCTGCGTGCCCAGGCATAGTCCGCAGGACTGGGAGGGACCAGGACATTTAAACAAAGGCTGTGGTACGGACCCTTCGTGCATTAGGTGGGTTATATATCATGTTATATATAATTTTATATATAATATATATCATGTTATATATAATTTTGGCCAATGTTTAAAAGCATATAGAATTTAATTTTAATACCAGAAAAAATACACTAAAATGTTACCAGAAATTATGACTGGATCATAGGTCTGGTTTTCTTTTTTTAACTCTGCTATATGTTCTTAAATGTTATGTCACAAATACACATTACTTCTACAATAGGCTTCCCCATCCTTTAAGTACTACAATTCCTCTGTATATCAAGAACCTGAACCATAAAGCCAAGAGTGCCCATTAGGCAGTATATGGGCTGAGAAGATTAACTGCCTAGAATCTTTATGAAGGGATTAGAGGTTCACGGGCCCATGGAATGGCCAAGAAGGGTTCCATGAGCTGACCTCAGCCAGCCCTCAGGGCCAGTTGCCCCCACAAAAGCGCTCGAAGCTTCCTTTCCAAGTCTGGACCAGAACCACGGAAGCATGGTGGACAGGGAAAGGAGTGACTACTAAAAGCAAGCTCCCTTCACCCACCTAATGCACGAAGGGTCCGTACCACAGCCTTTGTTTAAATGTCCTGGTCCCTCCCAGTCCTGCGGACTATGCCTGGGCACGCAGCAGGATGCAGGGGGTTGCCTGGGTTCAAGTGACAGACTATCTTCTCATTCTGATGTTTTTAACCTTTATTAGTTCTATTTTGAGATTGCCTCTTAACACTCTGGAATCTCTAAATAATTCAAACATCGAATCACAAACTGGTCACAATTTCCTTTAAAAGGGGTTTTCTAATATCAAGTGAAATGGTAGCACTAGAATGAACATTTACAGTGCCATCGGACTCAGTAAATTGCTTGCTAACTGAAAGAATGAGTAATCATCCATATTAAGTACAGAAACCTTTAGAAAGGCTCTAGGAAAGTATAAACTCTCCTACTAAAAGTGGCCAGACAAAAAATGCAGATATTTTAAGTGTAGCTTCAAATTACCCACCCAGTAAAAGATTGCAGGTGTTGGTCTAACTGGCAGTTATCACTAATTAAAAACATGTTAAACCACAAACCCACTTAAATCATCTGCAATAATAAGAAAAGCCAGGGTGGAATTTCAATTTCAACCTGAGTTCACTTCTTACTCCATAAAACATACCTGCTCCAGATTGAACAGCACAGCACCTCATCCCCTGCTGCGGGGAATGGAAACGCTAAGCAAGCCGATTTCAACATGAAGAGACTCGAGGAAGCGTCTCTTCACCTGCGTTTCACTTAAACCGTTTCACATTTTTTATTTGGTTTTTGTTTCCTAGAAACAAACTTTCCTGAGCAAGTGCTGAAAGAGTGCTTGGGAAGCAATGGATTGGTTAGGAGGAATTCCTCAAATCTGCTCAGGGATTTAAGACATTTTGAGAAGATGGTTAGAAGTGGGATTCTAATTGGCGGTTAAAACCTCCACTAACATTTTCCTACAAAGTGCTATAAATCAGGTGACATTAACACATTTATGTAAGGTGAAGTTCACAACCCTTCCAGACCCCTACCTCTCCCCCTGCCTAATGCCCAATGTTAAATGCAAAAATTAAAACGCTCTCACTGGGAATAAAAATTTTTTATCAACTTGAATTTGCACATTTATTATTTTTAAAATGTATTTTTTAAAAAACTTTTCAAGCCCTGAAGTTACACTTGCCTCTGTAACAGAAGTTTCCTAAAGAACTTCGGTACACAGCTAAGTAGTTCCTCTTTCCGCTGGTCTTCACGACCAGGGATCAAAAGAGGGTTGACAGCAAAATGGCCCGGCATCCTTCCCCTTGAATGGCGGGTCGCCCCGGCCTCCCCCCAGGCTTGGCGCCGGCGGCCACACGCGCGCGCGCACGCAGGCACGCACCTTGTTGGACCTCAGGAAAGCGGCCTTTGTTCCCCAGACCCAAAACTGGAATCCAGTCACTAAGCGCCCCTCCTCGCCTCCTGTGAGCCAGCCTTTCCAAGTGCAGATACCCCAAGACCGTCCGGGGAAGAAACCCCATATTCTCCTGCGTCCCAAGTGCGGGGGAGCGGAGGCTGCCCCCTGGGGCTCCGACTTTTCTAAACACATTGACACCGACACACACGCACTCCCACCCTCAGAAGAATCAATGTTTCGGTCATTGTCATTTTGAATAGCTTTCACCTACGGAGCGGTCACCTTGCGCCAAGCGCTGCGCCCGGAGCACCGCGCGCTCCAACGCTGACGCTCCAACTGTCCGACCTCTCAGTCTATCACACTCACACACACACTCACACACACGCGCACGAGGCAGCAGCACCCCGCTCCCCACGAGGCTCGAGGCTCAAGCCGGAAACCCGGGCACCCCCTCCGCGGGGCCGGGCGGGAGAGTGCCCACGCCCGCCCGGGCGCCCTGCGCTCCCCGCTCCCCTCGCGCCGGGGCCGGCGGGCGCCGAGATCCCATCCACCGGCCCGGCCCGCAGCCCGGCCGCCGCGGCCGTGCGCCCTCCGCCCCGCACGGCGGCCGGGCTGCGGGGCGGCTCTCACCTCGGCCCTTTGTCCTCCCGCGGGCGCGGCGCGCTCCGGTGCGACCGCCGCCGTCGGAGGGCCAGCCCAGCCTCGGGGCCGCGGTCCCACCCCCGGCGGCCGGGCTCCCGCCGGGCCGGGGGCACTCGGCAAAGCCCGGATCAGCGGAGCGCCGGCGGCGCCCAGCCCCGACCCCTGACACCGGCCGCCCCGCGGGAATCCACCGCTCCGGGTCTTCGCGCCGACCTCGGAGGAGGGCCGGGCGGTGGGCTCGGCAGCCCCCGGCCCGGGCTGGGGCAGGGTCCGGATGAGGGCGGCGCCGGGCCGAGAGCCGGGGGGCGTCGGGCGGAGGGAGGAGGGGCGCGGGCGGGGCCGAGCCGCGGCGCCCTACTCCGGGGCTCTCGCCCCAGTTCTACCCCGGCCCGCGCTCGTCCCCCCGAGGGCGCGGTGCCCCCACCCGTGCCCACGGCCCCGCGCCCCAGGCCCCTGCCCCGCGGCACCCGCTCAGGAAAATCGCTGACGCCCCACCTGAAGTGCCCTGCCCCGAGCTGGGTGCGCCGCCTGCGCCCAGAGGGGTCGCTTCCTCCGGGCTCCCCGAGGGTCTTCTCCCTGAGCCCCAGCTCCCCGACACTCCCGCGGGGCCACACCTGGGAGCCCCTGCCGCCACCGGGACTAGCGAGGAACGGAGTCTAGACAGAAGCTGGAAGAACCCTCGGAGAGCAGAGTTCGTTTTGTCGCTTGGGTCCCAGGAGCCCGGAGGAGACAAGGCAACTCTGTGAGGCCAGGGCAGGAGTCAGGCCGCCTAACTACTCCACTCCCAGGGCCCCGGGTCCCCCGTCCCGTGCTCTGCCCCACGTGGGGAGCGGCGGCGGGGCGCCCAGCGGGACCGGCCCCGCAGAGCAGCGAATGGAGCAGCGGGGGCTGGCGCCTAGGGCCCCTTACATTCCCGGTCTGCGAGCGGCCCACGAGGGACCCCTGAGGCCTGCGGAGGAGGAAGACGGTCCTGGAACCGCGGGCACCTGCGGGTGGAACCCGGCCAACTGCCTGGGCCCCTGCGTGGTCAGGCACAGTGAATGAATGAGCGAGGGCACCAGCGAACCTCAAACAGGCCTTTGTGGACTTTCCTGGCGGCTGGTGAAGAGGTAACCAGAGCGATGAGCACAGGGCAGGAGTAAAACTCAAGATTTCTTTCTTTTAAACAACAACAAAAAAAAACTGGCCCCTGTGATGTCAGAGACCTGCGAGGTGCAGAGGCCCACCAGCGGCGCGCCTTCGCTGCCGTTCAACCCCACGACCCCCAGTGAGGCCTTGGGCCTGACAGTCAGTGCCCTTGGCTGGACTGGGGAGTGGAGACAGCCACATGTCCCTGAGCTGGGCGGTTAACTGAGGAAAGAGAGGAAGAGGGGGTCGCCCCCAGCGAGTGCGGTGCACCGCACATCTCTATTAAAAATATTTCCTGAATGAATCTCAACCCATCTCCAGTACTCTAGGAGCACCATTATTTTCCTTTTCTTAACATGAATATTTCAAATGCACACTAAACCAGAAAGAGTAATATCAGGAACTCCTTCCGGAATGCCCCCAAACCAGCCAATCCTAACGGTTTTGCCATTCTTGCTTCAGATGTTCCTGTACGAAATAAACACCACAACAGAGTCAAAGTCCTGGACAGCCCTCCTTGATCCCAAGTCTTCCCTGCCTACCACAGTACCCCTGTAAAACATCCCATCCATGTTTTTATGCTATTACTACATGTTCATGTGCTCATGAACTATATATAGCATTTTTTACCAGGTTTAGAACTTTCTGTGTGTTATGGTATTCTGTGTTTTGTTCTGTAACCCATCAGTTTTTTTACTCAATTGCATGTTTATAAGATCCATCTAATCACACAATCACATAATCTGGTTTATTTTAACTGCTAAATAGTGATCCATTTTATAAATACAGCACAATTTCTATACATATTCTTCTGTGGATGGACATTTCAGTTGATACAGTTTGTCATGATTATAAACAACACTACAGTGAACATTCTTGAAACTGTATTTGCATTTCTAGGGTACAGCCCATATTTCAATCACTCCAGTAAAAACCTGTTACAGAATAACAATGTTGAATTAACATTAACCAATGTGTTTGCTCTGTGTTTTACAGTTACTCCAATTGCTACACCAATAATTGCTATAATAAGTGCCTTTGCTTTTTTGCCCCTTACATTTTGACAGCTTACATTTTATCAAGCAAATAAAATCCTATAGACCAGGAGTCAGCAAACTTTTTCTTAAAGGGCCAGAAGTAAATACTTGAGCTTTTGCCAGACAAAGTAAAATCCATGCTATTCTATTATGTGAATACTTATATAACCATTTAAAATACAACCTTTTAAAAAGTAAAAACTATTTTTACTTCATGAGCTGTAAAAACAAAAAGAGGAAAGAAAAAACAAAATAACAGGCAGCTCAGAGGATCTGGCCCATGAGTTACAGATAGTTTGCCTACCCTTTATTACAAGAAAGTCATTCCAAAAATTACTTCCTTTCCTTGAAATCCAGCATTAAAAAGGAAGTCACTTTTAGTAAGGACAATGATATAATTTGGCTCACCAGAAGAATCAGAGTGGATATGGTGTTTCTCCCAGAGAAAAATTCTTAGGAAGGTGTCCCGTACCTTAGCCAGCTAACACAATAACTTTGGGAAAACCATTTTAATCCTTTAATCCTATTTTTTAAATCTCTAATACATTTTAATACATAGAATCCCTAACAATTAGGAATTAATGAGACAAGAAATGAGAGTCAATGAAAAAGTTGTATGTCATTTTCCTGCTTAATGAATCATCTCTCTGCTCCTAGTTCACTGATTTGAACACTGGCACGCAAATGCAGATGATTAAATTTGTTTTTCCTGAACTGAACTTGACCCACTTATTTTATATGTCTTTACTGAACTTGAGCCAAAACTTGAAAAAGTAATTTCAAGATACTTCTTAAATGAGGGGAATCAGCCTACTTTAAAATGTTGTTGACAAGAATGGGACCAAACTAAACTGTGGTGGCCAACCTGAGACTTACAAAGGGGCTGTCAATCTCCAAGCCCATTCAGTAAGCAGGGTTCTGGCAGAGGCCATGGGGTCAGCAAGGCAATTAGACATGGCTTCTGGGCACGTTTGTTTCTTTGACCAGTATTATCCTAAAGAATTCACACACATACACTTTTCTTCACACACCTACCCACAAACGTGTCTATGTATGTACTAACAAATGTATTCTTTGCACACACCTTCTCTACTTCCTTAAATGCATACAGCATACACACTTCAAAGATACATATGGCTTTTTCACATACATACATGACTCCTACGTGTATGTCTTTCCACAGGCACCAAATAAGTCCTGTTCTTCCTCTCTCCCTCTCTTTCTCTCACACACACGTGTGCACCTTGTCACACAAACATTTCTCCCTCTGGTACATACATGCTCCTTGCAACCATATTTCTGTTGCTTGAAGATCCAACTCTTCACCTAACTTTTTCTTTGTAACATACACACATTTTCACAAAATGACACTCAAACACAATGTCATTCTCTCACATATTTTCATATATAAGTATATATGTGTGTGTGTGTGTGTGTGTGTGTGTATTTGCTTATCTCATCCCACATACAAATATACGCACAGTCTCCTTCCTCCCTGGCCTTGGCACAGTTTCCTCTTGTGGCACATTCATCACAACCACCCAGCTGCAGGGCTGCAGAGCAGTGCTGGGTGCAGCCATTGAAGCTCCCATTTGTGTCTGTCAAGCAGCTTGGAATCATGTGTTAACAGAATGCCACTTGCTTCTATGTCAAGGGGGCTCCTAAATTCCTTAAGTGTACTAAAATTTTATTCTTTTACAGTAAATATTTCTAAAGTGTAACCCAGTTTATGCTGTTAACTATCACTTTCTGTAGAGAAAATGCTTCTCCAGCATAGTAAATACTTAAATCCAGCTTCCTTAAATTCTCCCAAATGAGAATGGGGGATGTCTTGGTTTGTTCAGGCTGACACACAAAGTACCACAAACAACAGACATCTATTCTCCCTCAATTCTGGAGGCTGGAAGCCCAAAATCAAGGTGTCAGCATGCTTGCTTCCTTTTGAGGCTGGGAGGAAGGATCTTTTGCAGACCTCTCTCTTTGCCTTGTCAAGGGCTGTTGTCTCCCTTGTCTTCACATGGTCTTCCCCCTTGCATATCTGTGTCCAGATTTCCTTTCATATAAGGACACCAGTTATATTGGATTAGGGCTTATTTTAATGACCCTCTTTTAGTTCGATTACCTCTGTAAAGACCCTATCTCAAAATAAGGTCAAATAAGGTCACATTCTGAAGCACTTCAGATTAGGACTTCACCGTATGAATTTGGAAGGGGCCAGGGATGGGGAATACAATTCAACCCCTAACAGTAGGATTTGACTTGTTTCTACATGTGGTTGGTTCAGAGATAACTAAACTTCACCTTGATCAATATTTCATCTGGTGCCTAGATGTGGCAGATCCTCATTTGAGACCTTAATCTCAAATTCCACTGCAACTTAACCTGCTCCACTCTTAACCTCCATTTTACGAGGGATATTGACCACCCAAAACGCAGAGGCCTTATTCAATAGATTCCTGAAGGTGAAACTGCACCACCTGGTGGACAATCGAGGTGCTACAGGTCCACCTTGGTTGATACCAAATATTAGATAGACAAAGGAAAAAGATTCAGAGGAGCAAAACATATTTGGTGCAACCGATATATTTCATGGAGATTGTGCATGAGAAATGAACATTTATGCAATCAATAAGACATTAACAAACTAAAGTGTGCTTGTGTAGAATTCAAGTGGAACAGAACATAGTAATTCAACTTCAGACTTTCTTTATAGATCTGATTGCAAAATAGGTGCACACTAACATTTTAACACCAGACCTTCATAACCACAGAAGGTGAAATTACATAAAAGTTTGAGGAGATACTCTGTTCCTATAATGTGTATTGCAATAAACCTCTCTGTTGGTTGTGTAGCAAGATTTAAGGACTTAATCTCTAAGTACATTTACAGAACAAAATTACACAGGACTGAAGAAAATGCAAAGGATGTGAACAATATCACTGTAGATGTCATTATC